GGAGCTTCAAATTTTGTAAATTTATATGTAATTAATATAATTTAAAATATTATATTTAATATTAATTTTGATATAAATATAATAAAATTGAAGCTCACTTAAATGTATTGAAATATCTAATAAAAAAAAAGTTAGGATATTATTGTCAAGATGAGATTTGAAATTCTTAGATCTATTTTGAGATAAATATAATATAAATTTTTTATATATTATATTTATCTGAAAATAAGTCGAATGATTTCAAAGCACATCTTGATTCATCTTTATTCAGACATATCTTGATGATGATTTTTTTAGTAACCAGTCAAATTAATGGGCAATGGCCTGTTGCCCGGGTCAGCTTGGTGTTAATATTTAAATTAAATTTTTTTAATGAAGTTTTATTGTAAGATGGAAAGGAGGAAATGAATTTTTCTTTTTTCATATTTATTTATTTGTAGTGGGAATTACTTTTTCTTTATCTTATTATAGTATAAAAAGGGAAAATTATAAGGAAAACTTAGGGTGTAATTTGAATAGTATTTTCATAGAATATGGCATGTTTGTTTTTATGATCTTGAATACCATCCTAAGAAAAATAATATTATGGCGTCTTAATATGTTGTTAATCATGATTATTTTAAAATTATGCAAATTAGTTTATATGTGCTAATTAGTTTATAAATTTTTATAAATATCTTTAAATTTTATTAGTTTAATTTGAAAATTAATATGAATGTTAATTTCAATCTTTTATGATGCCATAGTTAGAAACTTACAAGTGCAAATATCTTAAAATTTTAATAGTGTCTTTAAGGTAAATATTATAGTCTTCAAAAGAAAAAATTTTGGTACATTAAGAATCAAAGATAAATTAATCAATTATTTGAACTTAAATACCACGTGTCATGTTTTTTGAAGGGGTTATGATGGCAACAAAGGTTATAAATGTAATATTTAAGAGTTGCTAGAGAAATCTTCAGACCACAAAGGTTATAAATGTAATATTCAACAGTTGCTAAAGAGTAATTTCCACTTGTTTGCGAAAAAAAAAAGTTGTGAAAAAAAATAGTTACTATATGTTAAAAGTTCATTCTACATAAGATAGATTAATTTTAGTTTAACTATAATCTCCATAATGTTAAGATCAAAATTTATTTAGATATGAGGTCTAGAATTTTAATAGGTGCAAGTTCTTATGGTTAATTATCGCATTCCTCTTTGAAATCTCAAATAAATCTAAGTGAATATATATAAATTTTGATTGAACTTAATTTTAATTAATTTAGTAGGCTTGTTAGCATGGGAGCTTACCCAAATGTGATTTGAGTTAAACAATTTAACTTGCTTTGTGTAGCCCTTTTAAATTTAATAGAAATATTTAAATTTGATAGCCTTGTTTGTAGAAATTATCAAATAGATTGAAATCTATAGAAAAAAATTGTCAGAAAGAGGCTTTTTCCTTGATTGATCTAGTATTTTTTCCTATAGTCTAGTATTTATCAACCTAGCAATCAACTTACAACATTTAGCATTTTGTGCTTTACCTTATTATTTTTTTTTATGTTACTGAGAGAATATTGAATTACATTAGTCTATCATATTCCTTTGGATTCATTCAATTCAAACCATGAAAACATTTATTTGCTATACTCAGAAATGTCATTATTTGTCACTATGAAAACAGTATTGTCATTCTTTAACTTTTGATTATAATGTCGCATTTTTCACTGATGGATTTTCTTGTAAAATTTTCAAATAAGATTTTTATTTTGAGAATGGCCAAATTGTATACTTCGAGTCTTGATTAGGAGTATTGCAACTTTTGCAAATTTATAATTTCTTATGTAATCAAAGTTTGATTAAATGGAGTCTAGGCATAGAATAACTTGCCTTGGCATATGCTTATTGGTTTGTTAATTATAATTTACATTGAAAATTAATGGCGGTCACCATTAATGATGAATTTGATTAACAATTATAATGTACTATCATAGGTGGTGCATCAAGACTAAGCTAGTGATGATCAACAAGCTATAACTGAAAATGAAAATTTGGAGAAGGATTATTTTCATTTGGTTGGATCCAACAAAAACATGCATTAATATTTGTACTTTTTTTATGAGTCAGCTCATTTCCTTGAGTAAAGGATTTTGAGATAGGGGTGTCAATTCGGGTCAATGGGTCGGGTTGTGGTCGAACCCAACTTGACTTGACCATAAATGGGTTGACACTAACCCGACCCATTTTTGTTAATGGGTCAAGATTGTCAACCCAGACCCGTCTCGTGCGGGTTATCAGGTTGACCCGACCTTACCCGCGAGGGCTAGAAATCACTGGAGCCATTTATAGCAGGATGAATAGTGGCATCTTCACTATTGGACTGTGGCACTCAGCAGCAGCAGCTCGGACAGTCGGGCTCGACCAGATGTCAGCGGCAGCTCGGACTCAACATAGATGTGATGGAAAACAAGACACAGACACATATGCGGGTTATCGGGTTACGCGCTGAAACCTAACCTGACACGAGTGATCGATGCAATGACTCACGACGCTAAATCAAGTGACACGACGACTCACGCTGACGCGTGACTGGCAATAAACGGGTCAACCCGGGTTGGTTTCGGGTTTTCGGGTCGACCCGATTTTACAAATGGGTTAGAATTACAAACCAGAACCTGATCTGTATGAAAAATGAGCTATAACCCATAATTTTTCGGGTCAAGTTTCAAGTCTTGTAAGATTTTGACACCCCCTGCTTTGAGATATAAAATTTATAGAATAAAGGATTATCATAAATGCAATAGCTTTAAGAAGAATAGATCTTCATGACAAATTAAGTGCAAATTAATTATTGAACTATGATATCATAAGAGTTCGCTAGCATAGTGCTTGTAGAAGGGCAAAGCCATAGTACCAAACTAGCGAGAAAGGCTAGTTATACTCACTTTTAAAAACAACTTCAACTCTACAATTAGACATCAGAGAGTGGGGAATGCTAGTTATACTCATTTTTACAACAACTTCGGATCTACAATGAGGCATTAGAGAAATCTTATTTTTAGGCTATCTAATTTAGTTCATAATCCTTATAATATCCCATAAATTACTAAATGAGCAATAAACTCCTTCATATACACCATCAAAAGGTCATAAATTGCATGTGATGGTTCAAGTCCCATGCTTGGCCTCATGCAGAAAAAATATATGTAATAATAAGGATACAAGTTCACTATTCATCTAAATTGTTCTACTTCATTAATCACTAGTAACTACATTTAAAACCATTGTATGCAGGGTAGTTGTCTTTAAGAGAGGTATAAGATTCTAAAGGGAAATTGAAGTAGTGATAACATTACTTTTATAGTGATACTTTCTTTTTCATCCTAAATTGACTAATATTCTAAAACTCTACATGACAAAGTATGTTTGTATGTTCATCAAATGCATGTAAATGATCCATAGAATACTACCCAATGCATAAATTATCATCCCTAACAATATATGTGATTTGATTCTTGGGTTTGGGTCCTATAGTAGTTGTTATTATTTTATAGCTTGTACATTAAACTCAATTTTTATGATCTTATTGAATAGTACCATAATAAGATAGAGGGTTGAGTTTTTAGCTAGAAGCTTATGAATGGAATTCATGGAATTTTACAAATATTATTATGGGATTGAATTCATGGAATTGAGCTATAAGAACTTAGAGGTGGCTTTAAATGAAAGAAAGGCACTTGATTAAAACGCTACACTAGGAATATATGAAGGTAGAGTTAGGTGTTTATATATATATATATATATATATACAGAGAGAGAGTAGATAATTTATGGAAGCTTAGAAAAGAGTTAAGAGTAAGTCTTAAGGGAAAAAAGTATTTGGAGGAAGAATTTAAAAGTTCAATATTTTTAGATGTAGGTGGCATTTTCCTTACCATGGACAATCATGCTTTCCATCTTTTTTTTTTATGTTATATTTATGTAAACCTTATTACACGCACAAGAATAATCTTATAGATTAAAAGAAATGTGTATAAATCTCTACATGTTATTGTTTAGATACATATATCTGATCAATAATACTGCACAATTTTTATAGACATGTTGCCTATGTACACTTTATGTTTCATGATTCTTAATTTATGTTATGATGAGATGGATGCTATGATTATACATGAATGAATGATATGCATATTTGAAAGCAAAAGATGTATATGAAATGCTTGCATAACATAATGATGAAATCCATAGGTTGATGAAGGGAGGGCTCATATATTAGATTATTGTGCTACCCCAAATCACATAAAAGTTGATCAAATAAATGAGACTATAGTCCAATCTTAGGCAAATAGATTATATTTGTGTTAATAGTGAGATTATCCTCCAATTATCTCTTGACTCATGAAAAGAAATATTTGAATTTTAAATAACATTATAGCTATTAAAAAATCCAAACTTATTAGTAATTTGGACTAAGCAATCTTAGATAATTTTAAATAAAACCCATTTTTTAAGCATGTTTCTTTCTTTTATGAGAGTAACTCAAATGATTATTATAATAAATTATCCATTAAATATTCCAAAACTCAACAAATACAAAGTAAAAAAGAATATTAAGTAAATAAAAAGAATGAAAATTAAAATTTCATATAATATTTTTGTTGTTGAAAAAGAACATGTGTAAAACATTTGCCAATGATTTTTCACTATGACTTTCTGAATATTTGCTCTAGATTTTGCAAGAAAATTTAGAGATTTTAACAAGCAAGATTTTTAGAGTTTTTAATGTGATTTCAACCTTTATAATGGGCATATTTATAAGCCAAAAAATTAGATTAAAAACCTCTCACAATGTAATGTCTCCAAGAGAATAAACAAAGGAAGAATATTGATATAGCTCTCTAATTTATTTTATAAGCAAAAAATGAATTTCCTTAAAAATTCGGATTTAAATTTTGATATAGCTCTCTAATTTATTTTATCCTTCTAATTAACTAATGAAACAGTCCACTAATATCTTGATTTAATATTTCATTCATTCAATCAACTAGTTGATAAACCAAATGGTAATGATGATTCATTCGACCAAATGCAAAATTTCTCAGGAGTTTCATTTGCAGGTCAACATTTGTCACAACCCAATAAAATGCCTAAAGAGAAAGAAAAGATAAGATAAACACTAACTCTAAGACAAAACCTACTCAAACAAACTAAAGCATCTCCATCATGCCTTAATGTTCATATTCCATGACAGAGAGAACTTCTTCCCCAGAGGTAATGCCAACCCAGTCACGTCAATCATCAAGCTCTTCCCATTTGTTCTTCCATCCAGCTTCCCCAAATCCACTGAAGAAGCATCAGTGAAATGAACACCAGACAAATCTGAAACTCTTTCTCCATCTACCTCAATCTCCATTCCTTCACCTATACCTTCCAGCCCAAGAACAGTAATCTTCTCAATCAACAACTTCTCATCCAAGCTGAACTTCTCCATTTCCACCTCTGACCAGACCTTCACAGTCTTCCCTTCAATGCTTGCATAGAACTCGACATACGTTGCCTCCCCATCAACAAGCTTCATCTCAGGTCGCTCGTCGTCATCAACATAAACCTTGCCTTTGGCATCACTGTGGGTTGCACTGAAGGGGAAAGCTACAACAAGGGTGAAAGGAGTTGTTCTCGCCTCCTTGGTGAGCATTCCTCCACGCTGCATTGGTAGAATGGTGTTTTGATACAAATGCACATTGATCTCATTGAGAGGAGCATTGAGGGTAACATATTTGTCATCCTTTGAGATCACGGCCTTCGTTGTGTCAAACAGATTATACCAAGTTCCAGGAGGAAAAATGGCATCCACTGAGGTTGCCCCTTGCTTTAAAACTGGAGAAACCATCACACTGCTCCCTAGCAGAAACTGAGTGCTCAAACCATAGGATGCAGTGAAATTAGGAAAGGAGAAGAACACTGGCCTCGCCAGCGGTGCGCCATAGATGTGAGCTTCGTAGCTCAAAGTGTAAAGATATGGAAGTAACTTGTACCGTAGGCCTAACGCATTTCGAGCAGACTTTGCAACAGACTCCCATTGGTAGAGCTCCTGTCGAGGTGAGGCTAAATTAGCATGGTCTCTTGAGAATGGATAGAAAGCACCGAGCTCTATCCATCTGTTGCAGAGCTCTTCAGTTGGAGCTGGGTAGAATCCACAAATGTCAGCACCAACCATTGGCATGCCAAAAAAACCAAAATTCAATATTGTTGAGATTGAGTATCTGAGATCCTCCCAAGTGCCCTTGTTGTCCCCAGTCCAGTGAGCTGCATAAGCTCCTGATCCCACGAAACTCGAGCGGGAGAGAACGAACGGCCTCTTTCCCTCCAGTTTCAGGAGGCCCTTGTTAGTTGCAATGGATTGAGAGAAACCATAAAGGCTGTGAGCGTTGTACTCCATGACTCCATTGTAATGCACTGCACTTGGAGCTATGGTTTTGAATTCAAGTGGAGCTTGAATTCCAGATGCATTTATCTTGTAAGGAGGATCATCCCATCTTGTCTTTGTTATATTCACGCAATCCAAGCAACAGACCCATGGAGTAGTGGTTAAGGGACATGAATGTGTAGTTGGAATCTTGCATTTTCCAGTGCAAAAATTTGAAACTTCATTCATGTCGATCCAGAGGCCATCTACAGGTACTAGTTTGTGAAATCTGGCAATCTCATCAACCCACCATGATACACCGCTTGGGTTCAGGAAGTCAGGGAAGTAAACAGGTCCGGGCCAGACTTGTGCTAGATAGGGCTCCCCTTCATACTTGATGAAAATATCTTGAGCCAGCCCCCTTAGATAAACACCATAGGTTAAATTGACATTAATACCTGGATCAACAATGACTACATATTTCATGCCCTTTGAGTGAATTTTGTCAAGGAATGCTAACAGCTTGGGGCGAGGGAAATTGACAGCACTAAGTGTGAAATCTTTTCTAGCATCCATATGATCATCATCATTCCATATTACATCAAGTGGTATTTGGGCATTGTTATAGCCTTCAACAACCCCTTCAACAACAGAGAGATTGTGGTAACCCCACCTGCATTGGTGGAATCCTGAAGAAACAAAAGCAACAATGAAAGGTAAGAAACCTTGTATTAGTAATAATGGAAAAGAATGAACTAATAAAAGGAAATGCAATCCTCAGGTAATAAATCTATAAAAGTAATGATCAAAGGTGTTTTGAAGCTGTGAAAAGCCTTCATAGTTTAGTGAATGCAAGTTGTAAGAATCAAGTTTGCTATAATACAGTTGATCCCTTGCCACAACAAATAAAATTGACGATTAAGTTGGATAATTTGCGAGCTCAAGATGGTATCCACCATTTATTTTCCATCAAATGGTTCAAAAAAAGCAATTTATGGTATAGTTTCTCAGACATAAAGGTATTCTTCTAAATTCTTAATTATAAAGCAAATTGAGCTTGTGCCTGAGAAGAAATGTTAAAATTTTAATTTTCATTGCTGGTAACAACTTTAGAGGCTTAAGCTATTATGTTTTGACGTTTTAATGTGTTCGCTACAATTCAGGCAAATGATACAAAATACTTTTGCAAGTCCAACTTGTTATTACATTTGGGATTGATTTCACAAGAATATAGATTAATTTGCGGCAAGAGTCCATGATCATATCAAGGCCTTTCCACTTGATCAGCAAAAACAGGTGAAATACGTAAAATTCACCTGCTCACTTTCTTTGGGTGATATCATTCTAAGAAATTTTAGGAGCGTTAAGAGTGACATCATTCTAAGGAAAAAAAAAATAAAGAAATCTAAAATATTCATCCAGTAAGTTCTTCTTTGAGTGTCTCCATTTGGTATCATCTTTCTTTCAATCTCTTTAAACTTTTGAAACTAGTTCTCTAATGCACATCTTACCATTTTTATAAGAGATTGTATTGTTGAATTAGTTAGGTGATAGCAATAGAATAATTTCTAAAGTTCAAGGAATTTAGACATGGTTTTAATTGTAAACCATAGGCTCGTGCCAAGTGGAATTTTGGGGATTTCGTAAAGCTCAAGTAGTGAGGTGTGCTTGCTATAAATTAAGTAGTGGAGCCCTACCGTTTAAGCAAGATTGGATAAGGATTTCCTCACCTACTCAAGGGAGTGAAGGAATTAGACTTGTGATTTCAAATCCATTTAGTGGAATCCTAATCCAAGTGAAAATCAGGCATGGATGTAGGCCAACTAAGTTATGAACCACCTAATAATTCTTTTGTATCAAATTTGCTCTTTAGCTTTGTTGCGGGCTAGAATATACGCGGCGATAGACTTAGAATACTACGTCTTAGCGTTACACGAATATCCCTCTCACACACAGAAAACACAAGAATTTTACGTGGAAAAAAAGCCCTAAAAAAGGGAAAAACCACGGGGCCTAGCACAGTTGAAAATGATTCCACTAGAATTTGAGTCGGTTACAATGGACTAACTCGCCTCTGAGGGCGATCAGATTACAAGTAACAATGGTACGATAGAAATCCGAGTGTCAGGTGATGGTCTGACAGAGCTTTGGGGCTCAGATGATGGTCTGGCAGAAGTCTGGGCCTAAGGTGATGATCTGACGAAGGTGAGGGCCTCAGATGGAGGTCTGACGAAGGTGAAGGCCTTTGGCAGTTGTCCGGCAAAGCTGAGGGCCTCCGATGGTGGTCCAGCGAAGGTGAGGGCCTTTGGCGATGGTCCGGCAAAGGTGAGGGCCTCCGGCGGTGGTCCGGCAAAGGTGAGGGCCTCAGGTGGTGATCCGGCGAATGTGAGGGCCTCCGGCAGTGGTCCGGCGAATGTGAGGGCCACAGGTGGTGGTCCGGTGAAGGTGAGGGCCTCCGGCGATGGTCCGGCGAAGGTGAGGGCCTCCGGCGGTGGTCCGAAGAAGGTGAGGGCATTAGGTGGTGGTCCGGCGAAGCTCCGGCGGTGGTCCAACGAAGCTCTAGCGGTGGAGCGGCAGTGGTCCGGCGCGATTCCGGTGGTGGACTGGTGGTGGTCCGGCGAAACTCCGATGGTGGTCAAGGAGGAGCTTCTTCCTTCTCTCTTGTCTCCTTCTCTCTCTTGCTTGGGTCCTTTTTCAAGAGAAATAAGGGGTCTATTTATAGATTTCTGGAGTGGCATGGCTCATAAATAGGTGAGAGATCAAGGGTAAATGGGGAGTGGTTGGATGGACGGCCGATATTGAATCCCTTGATCATGGGCTATTCATCAGACATTTGGAGGCCTTAATGATTTCGGAATTCAGTGATCTTGGCTCATTGGATTCGTCTCATCGAGCCGCTCGATTTGACTATAAGGTCATCATATTTGGAAACCGTTTGGTAACTCAAACAGTGGTACGAAGCTTCCAACAGCGCTTCGGGTCCTTGATTTGGGCTTATTTGGGCTCGGATTGAGTCGAATTTGGTGTCGTTGGGTTCGTATTTCCGAGACGCTCAGTTTGACTATAAGTTTGCTAAAATCAGAGCTCAGGTGATCCTGAATTTAATTTTTGAAGTTTCCGGCTTGCTTTTGGCTCGAGATTAGTGCCTGATCAAGATAATTTTTTTATGACATATTAGTTGCCCCCCCTATTTTCGAACATCAAAGCTCCAGAAGACCGAAACTACTTGTTCCGACATTTTGCATTGGTCGAATCGCAAAAATTGCGTTCAAAAAATTATGATCTTACTCAAACTTGATCATAGAGACCCCATTGAGCTCCGAAAGTGTTAAAATTGAGTTTGGAAAATCGAAAAACGTGTCAGGGGACCCCAAAAACGTCGAAATTGGACCGTCCGGGCCAAAAATCGAGCCTGGACACGTGTAGGCAGCCGAACCGGCCGGCCGGCCGTCCGCTGTTTGCCGCCACCGCCGCCGACGATGCCCTGCCGCGCGAGGTTAACGCAGCCAGTAGTTGTCGGCTACAGTTAGTTCATTTTTTTTTTTTTTGAGCGGTTTTTGCATAAACGGCCCAACCACTGTTTTTTTTTTTTTTTTTTGAGCGGTTTTTGCATAAACGGCCCAACCACTCGGGCAGTTTTTCAAAACCACCCTTTTTTTTTTTTGACAAGAGAGGAGTTTTTTTTTTCATAACTCCCCTAACTCCCATAACTCCCTCCTCTTACTATAAATACCCCCCCTGAGGCATGAAAAATTCACACATTCTCTTCCCCCTCTATTCTTACAATTGAGGTTTTCCCTTGGTCCTCCAAAGCCCCTCTCTTTGCAAGGAAGTCCAGAGATCCCCTCCTTCTCCCTCTATTCTTACAATTGAGGCTTTCCATTAGTCCTTTAAGGCCCCTCTCTTTGCAAGGAAGTCCGGAGATCCACTTTATTTCCCCCAACACCCTTAGGAGAAATGTCAGGTGATAGCCTTCCACCGAGAGATTCTGAGATCCGGGGTGACCCTATCTCACTGTATGATTGCGAGCGAAGGCCAAATAAGGAAGCAAGGGTAGATGAGACAGCGTCGACTGTTACAAGTGACTTCCTGATTCTTTTCCACAAGAATTTCCACTTCCAGAATGATGTGAAGACGATTGTCCCTAAGAGGTCTGATCGGGCTAGCCTTCCTCCTCCCTGGTACTTGACCGTTTCTGAGACCCACTTGCGAGTGGGGTTACGCTTTCCATCTCTTGCTGAGTTGATCGAAGTTTTACGGCAATATGGGGTAAACCTATCCCAATTTTCATTCAGAGTGATGTCGGTGACTGTGGGGTTGATTGTGCATTTAGGGATCGAGGAGCTACTCTGACGCCTGAGCACCTTTCACGGATGGGTCGATTTACTAGTGGCACGCATGGGCATGTATTCTTCAGATCCAAATTGTTGGATGTGCGTACCCGTGATCCTTCAAAGAACTGGGCCAGTGCATTTTTCTTTGTGAAAAATGATTGGGGCCTAATAGAGAAGTGGGGGAATATGAAGGATCTGCCATCCCTTTTCATGTCGGGGAAGAAAATATAATGAGGATCCTGAAGGTTCCTAACATTGAACATCTTCTATTTGAGGTTCGTCATATGAGTATGTACACCAAGGAAGAGTTCTTGTTCAAAGTTGGGCTGTCGTTCCACGCTGGAAGGTCTGATGCAAGGATGTTGAAGCCGACTTCCAAGGTTCCCGAGCCCCCTGCCCTAGCTTCAAAGGTGGCTCCTAAACGTCCGGCAAGAGGTGAAGACCCCCAGGTTTTGAAGAAAAAGAGGTTATAGTGGACTGCGACAGATACCTACAAAGCTCTACCCGACTCTTCCCCAGCCAAGTTCCATATCCCTGAGGATATTTTGAACCATCAATGTATCGGACGCCGTAAAACTGACGACTTGGTGAGTAACATTTTTCCAATGCCTTTTCTCTTTTGGTTTTAAGGTGGATTCTAATACATTCCTTATTTCAGTGGTCGCACCTTGGGACTGAGCTTATCGATGCTCTGAACGACTGGAACAGTGAATTTGTGAAGATCAAATATCTTCAAGGTGAGCTCAAGCGGAAGTACGATCATAAGACCAAGGAGGCAAAGGTGTTTGAAGAGGAGTTAAGCGAGGCAGGACTGAGTTGGCCAACACAATGCACTCTATATCACTTCAAAATCGGCAGGCAGATCGGCATCAAATATATCTGGCGGAGGCTCAAGAGACAATCACCCGGCTTTTAAAGGATCAAAAGGCCTCTGAAGAGAAGATAGCGTCGCTTGAGGCAAAGGATAAGAGGTCCTAGTCTCTTATAACTGAGAAGGATGCTACTTTGTCTGGCTCAGAACCTTCAAGAGTCATTCAAGATTTTAAGAAGTTCATAGCTTTCAAGACCATCATTCAGGATAACGTTCAGGAGGCTCGAGACCATATCTTTGATATAGAAGTGAAGGCCTTGGAGCAGCAGTGTACTGATGATGGATTTATCCGAGGCTTTTTTAAGGGAATTCGCCTGATGCAGCGGAAGACTGGAGTTCAAGTCGAAGGTGTGACCCCTAGCCAGGCTTCAGATGACTTTCCTTCATATTCTGATGGCGACGAGGTAGAGAGTGAGCTACAGAAAGTCCTTGATCTTGATGTGGATGAAGAGATTGTAGATATTGAGTAACATTTTTATTTTCT